ATCAATGGAAGTTTCCGCCTTTGTTCAAACATACAAAACATGACACAAGGAATATAACATCACAAAAGCACTGTGACAAACCATTAAAAAAAAGGATTACTAAGCCAGGCTCGAGGCACAAGCCTGTAGTCCCAGCTACTTGGGAGGCTGAGGCGGGAGCATCACTTGAGGAGTTCCAGACCAGCCTGGGCAACAAAGGGAGACCAAAGGATTACTGAAGTCAGATATGATGGGTTTGATTTTGTATTTTTAAAAATCAGCATGTGAATAAGAAAAAGTTATTTCAGAAATTATGTGAAAATCCACCCTTGGGTGGAGTAATGCAGTGGTTTGCTGGCACTGGCTCTGAGCCAATGTATACATCCCTTCTCCAATCCAAGGTGGTGGCTTGAAATCAGCCACAGGGGGAGTAACTTACAGCAAAGAAATCAGCAAATGCTAGGAACTCAGGGTTTCCCCTCCACATCCCAACTCAGAAATCCTGACTATCATTTTCCAGCACACAACTGAGTGAAGAGGGGCCAGAGCAGAAGAAAAGCTATCAAAAGAGATCACAGATGTCTCAAAACCCCACTCAACCTGCTCCTCTTCTTTCAGATCAGCTACTGACTAGTGATGGATACCAGCTACAGCTACCAATTATAAGTCTCTCCAGTGAAAACTGATCTTAAGTGGTATGTTACCTTTTGACTCTAACAAGAATTCTGTGGATATTCAAAAGAATATGAAGCTGAGACTTTTCCAAGAAGGAGGTAGTCTACAAACAGAACTGTCTGCCTCATACACTTGCACTAAGGTTGTAAACTTTGACTTAAAAATGGACACGGACACACACACTTGCCCAAATTAGTTGATCTCAAAAGAGAAAGCAGATCATCATCATCCTCTTCTGAAGGCCTTGTACCACTCAGAGGCTTCAGCTATAGGTTTATAGAAAGAGGACTCACTAAAACGGTTTCCTAGGAAGATGCTTTGACTGAGTTTTAACGGTGCCCTTGGTGCCAAGGCACCTCTGTGCTGAGACAGTTCATTATTAAAGATATCATCTGTGAAAACAAACCAATGGCTTTTCTCCTTTAATTCAAAAAGATAAAATACCTTTGTGCTTTCAAAATTTAAAACATCTACTTAAATCAACCATCAATATTTACTTATTCAATGTACAAAATGTTAAGCTAATAAAACTATTCCAAAGTGCTGCTGAGAGGTCTAATTTCAGACAGACATGCAAACTAAATAATTCAATATGGGAAAAAAGTCCAATGTGTCTGTTCCCCATCACTATTAAACCCTACCTTTCAACACTACTATTGCACATCTCAGGAATAGAACTTTCAGCTGATAACCACAAATGAACCAGTAACAGGTCTCCAACACTACACATGTAAAGGCAGCTCACCGAATTATGTTCCTTCTACTACTAATGAACTAGCTAGCATAGATGTCTTATACAAGAGCTTTTCTATACTGTATATAAACAAACTTAAAGTAAATATTATGCATCTGGAAGATGCAAGTTTATATCAGTCATTTTGAGCCCTCAAGTCCTTACTCCCTCATTCCATTTAATTCCTGTGATTCAATTACAGGATTAAAAGGCGAGTTTAGAGGGGGCAGGGTGGTGGTGGTGGTGGTGGTGGTGGATGGTGGCAGCAGATTATTTAATCCCAGAATTTAAAGCCAAATTTTTCAAAAGATTCCACTGTGATATTCGTGGTATTGACTCAGTTTGGTGAATGAACAAATCTGTCTGTACCTGCCTTTGATTACCATATGGTAACATTTTATAAATTTGGTAATGTAGAGATGAAGGCCTACATTTTTCACTAGTAATATAAATAATGCAATACCTATTTATGAACATTCCCAAATGATCTCTGTTCTTCCCTAATTAAAAAAAAAATTCAAAGAAATAAGCACATCTTTACCTCACTACTGATTGAGAAGCTTCACTTTGCCTTTCACCTTCCTAATTACATCTCTAAAATGGTCACAATCTCTAACAACCTTAAATTTACAAGGAAAGATGATACATAATAGTAGAAAATGAGGTAAAAAGGAAAGAGAAAAGGTCCTTCACTTTGCCATCTTCTAACTGGGAAAAGCCCCATGTGTTGTTTTAAGTTATTCAATTTAATCTTTTACTCATAAGATGCCTCAAAATTTCAAAATCCAAGTTCATTCTCCTAAAAGTCATCATTTACCATGCTGTATCCTATACCACTCAGAGAGCAGACAACATATCTATGCTAGATGTGGGGTCCCATATTCTCACTGGATGTTCCAAAAACTGTCTTAACCCCAGGTTTAAAAATCTTCCTATGTTGAAGTAGACTAGCTTCATGCCCTGTTGACAGGTTCAGACAAGATCATACGGATAGCTGAGAGACCCACCCTGAATAAATGTAAATAAGATGGCTTTTTGTGGAGTTGCTTACATATTACAGTTCATAGCAAAACAGAAGCTCCCCAATAGTACTGCTCCAATCTTACTTTGTAAGGAATGATTCTTCTTCTACTGCTTATGAACAGCTCTCTTCTAGTAGTTCAACAGAGCACGCTTAGTCCTAAAGAGGCCAATTCGTTTAACTCGTATTTCTTTAAAGAATATACTCTCAGCATAATTTTTTTCCTTGCCAAAAGTTCCCAAAGGAATAACTTTGTTCTTAATTGCTCTCGTAAAGTACAGCTGCTAAACGCCACCAAAAATTTCTTTAGCACAAAGCTCAAAATATTAAACTGGAAAAAAAAGAAAAGAAAAGAAAGAAAAAGAGAGGGAGGTGGAGTCTGCACTCCAATTAAGGCATTTTTATACACAGTCCAACTTGAGTCCTATTCAAAGGGAATCCTAAAAAGGCGTTTCAATGGGGAATGGCAAAAATCACAATAGTCTATTATCAGCATTGTAGAACTTTCAATTGCTCACTTCAAATACAATCATGTTGAATGTGTCTCTGTTCCTTTGTTTCTCAGTTTTCTCATCCCACAAGTGCATAGGTTATGTCTTCTGTAGGTCTGGGGAAAACGGGCCAGGGGTGGAAGGTCCATCCAGGCCAGGCAGAGTGAATGGCCCATGACTGTTCAATACAGAAGGAAACTGAGAAAGAAAATAAAACACATTATCATCCTATTACTCAACCCTAACTTTCACTTTCTGTCCCTACTATATTCCCTGAGGCAAAACACAACAGCCTTCTGCAGTGGCTCACAGGACAAAGGCAGTAACTGTTTATCATGGAAGAATATGATGTCATAACAAAAACCTTTTTTAAAAAAAGTTTGGTCAGGCGCTGTGGCTTTTGCCTGTCTGTAATCCCAGCACTTTGGGAGGCCAAGGTGGGAGGATTGCTTGAGGTCAGGAGTTCGAGGCCAGCCTGGGCAACACAGTGAGACCAGTCTCTACAGAAAATAAAAAAAATGAGTCAGGTGTGGTGGCAGGTGCCTATAGTCATAGCTACTCAGGAAGCTGAGGCAGGAGGATCACTTGAGCCCAAGAGTTTGAGGTTGCTGTGAGCTATGATCATGTCACCACACTCCAGCTTGGGTGACATAGTGAGACGCCATCTCCAAACAAATAAATAAGAATTTTAAAAAGTTTGTCCTCGCCGGGCGCGGTGGCTCACGCCTGTAATCCTAGCTCTCTGGGAGGCTGAGGCGGGTGGATTGTTTGAGCTCAGGAGTTCGAGACCAGCCTGAGCAAGAGCGAGACCCCGTCTCTACTAAAAATAGAAAGAAATTAATTGGACAACTAAAAATATATAGAAAAAATAGCCGGGCATGGTGGCACATGCCTGTAGTCCCAGCTACTGGGGAGGCTGAGGCAGGAGGATTGCCTGAGCTCAGGAGTTTGAGGTTGCTGTGAGCTAGGCTGACGCCACGGCACTCACTCTAGCCTGGGCAACAGAGTGAGACTCTGTCTCAAAAAAAAAAAAAAGTTTGTCCTAACATATTAAATATTAACACTCTCCAACCTACCTCGATGTAATGGAAACAAAGAACAAACCTATACCTTCCCTCATATCCTATGTACACAGGTTTACAGTTAACCTCGAATGAAGGTTTTAGATAGTTCAGTCAATGATAATATGCACTGTAGACTGTAATTCAATTATAAAGTAAATCACGAACCCTCAAAAAGAGGTCCAGAAAAGTACAAACAGTTACAGCGTGCTCATCTTAGAAAAGGGTTCCCCACCAAGAAGTCTGAAGCTAACTCTATAGGAAGATTCCAGGCTGAAGCTATAGGAGCACTACGATTTTGCTTAAGGTCTCTGATCACTCTGTGACTCAACCCCCTGCTGATGAGAGGCAAAGAAACATAAAAAGGAAATACAGAAAATTCTCAACACTCTCTTTAATAATTTAGGGATTTTTGCCAAAAAAAATAAAAGCAGAAGGGGAAAGGTTTTTAATTTTCTTCTTTTTCCTTACCATTTCATTTCTAAAAGGACAAATGAAAAGTTGAATTACAAACGTAAGAAAATCTTTCGGGGATAGTCACCCCTGAATAAGCAAATGAACTGACCACAAGAAAGTTATAAAGTCTAGAAGTTTTGGGCAAAATAATGGTTAAATCCATTAGGAAGGACAAGACCTTTCCTAACATCTTGGTAAAGAGATAATATTCATTTTTAAAAATATATATTTAAAATGTTTATAAACATCAATTCTGAGTGAGGGGAAATGGGAATATTTGATACACCATTCTCAAGACCTTTCTCTATTTTTTTAAAAAAAAAATCCTTAATTAAAAGAGGAAATCCATGTGCAGAGATCCCCCTTATGTGTGTGTGTGTAGGTGTGCATTTGTACGTGTATTTGTACGTGTGTGTATATACAAATATATACGTTTTTTAATAGAGGATTTCTAGCATTTAAAATGACAAAAACTTTGGGTGGGCTCTAAATCTACTACAGTGTTGAACAATTCTTGGTCTAATTCAAATGTACATAATAGTAAATAATGAAAAGGAAACTTTGCTGTGAATATTTTGCTGTTTGCTGGCTAGAAAATTAACATTTGGAAATTCACCAATAAACCTTAAGAGTATTTATTAAAGTTTCATAATAAATAAACTGAACAGCGGGACGCTGCCTTTTTGCCTATTTCTTCATTTAACACGCTCCAAATATAGGAGACAGACTTTTACGAAATTTACCTGGAACAGTGTGTTAGCACCTTGCAGTCTGGCTGGACTCAGGGGAGCAACAGGGCTGAGCGTGCTCCAAAAGTGGATACTGGAGAGCAAGGGGCTTGGAGTCAGTATGATGGGTGTCTGCAACACACAAGAGAAAAATATTCACTAAATGACTTTCTAGAATTATGCTTTATCCTTGCAATCACATATAAATAGCCCCCCAAACCCAAATATTGCCCTATTCTCTACTAACAAATATCTCCAAGTCTGAAATTTTATCATCATGAAAAACTTAGAAATTATTTTTACAACCTAAGAAAGATAGAAGTCAAAATAACTGTTTTTTTTAACCCAACTTTTATACAATCTTTCCCAAATAAAAAAACCAACCATAATTCAGGTACAAAGGAACAATGGGTAACCAAGGCAGCAGCATGTTCTTTCCTTAATAATGAAAGGGTCTGGGAATAATAGTCTATTAAAATGTTCTATGAGATGAGCAAGTTAATAAATACCCAATGTAACTGCACAAACTTATTACTCAACATCACACCAGTCATTTTTCTTAAGGTTCTCAAGCCCTGTTGTTTTCTAACTTGATATTACCACTGTTTTCTATAAGATACCAACCAGTTTTAGATGACCAAGAGAAAGAAAGAAAAGGAAGTGGAAAAACCAAAATATTTATTTACTCGTAGAACAATGAGTTTTTTAAGACAAGACTACAAACCTTTTATTTTGGCAATCATAACTGAGATGAGGAATTAGGTTACTTTCACCGGGTCACATATAACCTTTCTAAGACAAACCTTAAGTAACGGAAAGCAAACTTAAGAATATAAATTCTGGATTTGTTTAAAAAGGTGAATAAACGCAAACAGTGGTGGCACTGAAAAGAAAGAGTGAGCTACCTGTGAGAAATATGCTGGTGTAAGAGAAGCTGTGGGGAGGGACGGGCTCAGTATTCCCAGGGGGCTTGGATCGCTGCCTGTGATCACAAGGGTGGGTGCCAGTTCTAACCCCTTGGGTTTCTTGGATCTTGATGAATTACTTGTTTTGTCCTTTTCTGGCAAAGCTGAATCCGGGTCTTTAGGCTCCAGTGGCAAGTTCTCTGGGAGTTCCATTGGCTGAGAAGCCACTGAATCGATGTCTGTGTCGATGTCTGGGTTAGAACTCAGCGGTGGCGAAGGTGTCCTCGGAAGCTCCTGCAAAGCAGCAGGTGTGCATGAAACGGGAGGTGTGGGAGACAAAGTGGCAGTCATGTTGGATGCAGAGGCCGGGGCCTCCAAGGAAGGTGGTTTTGGGGAAACCAATGTCTCCAATGCTTGGATAGTTTCTTCTGAAGATGGAGAAATACTTGGGCCAGTTGAAATGGCGGCAGCAAGAGGTTCAACTGGTGGCTTTTTGCAAGGTGTTGTTACAAATTTGATGACAGATGATGTCGGTTCCTGAGGAGATTTTTTCTCTGCCAGTTTCTCAGCTGGATTCTCAATCTTTATTGGTTTGGAAAGTTTCACCTTGGAAGAGTTCAAGGAGTTGAGAGTAAACGAAGAATACAAGCCAGAGTGTATATAGTCATTGCGGCTGGAGGTCTTGGCACCAGGCTGAGGTGGTTTCTCTTTCCCTCCATTCTCCACATCTTTGGAACTGCTGCTGACTTCGCTGGAGTTTGAAGTTTCACAGTCCCCCTCAATCCTGCCCACTGTCATTGGATCCATGTTCAAAATCTCTGGGTAAGAAACAAACTTGTACACAAACTTCTGACCATTCACTTTTTTGATGATATTCTGTAGGTAAATAAAATAAGCATTCTTATCCTTTCTTATAAACTTGCAACCCATAGTTCATAAAAAAGCTGACAAAACAAGATTCTCTATTTAAGAAGTAGGCATAGCTTATTTAAAATCTTCGAAATTCTCTAAACCAGAGGTCCTTAACCTTTTTGGCACCAGGGGTCACTTT